GACTAACTTGCTATTTTCCCCTCCCTTTTGCTTTCTTTTAAGTAAACAGCCAACCTCTTTACAGATGCTGAGTTCTTTAGGTTTGTTATTTTCAATTATGTATCCTTCTAAGCATAACCCTCTCCCATGACGGGGTTCGGCTGAGAACCGTAACCTATGAAGCAAGACGACCCTGGGAAGAGGGATGTTGAGTGTGGAGTCACCAGAGAAGAGAAGAACCAAGACATTCCTGGCCCTCCAAGGGATCTTCAGCCCCCTCCCCGTCTCCCCATAGAATCCTGTGGACCCCCTCTGCTCCGGGACACAGACGTCTGGGAGAAGGGATTCTGTCTCCTTGGGGACCGACACTCGATAAACCTTTTAGCTTCCCCTCTTCAACTGGTCGTGATCAGTGCTCTTTGTGACAGGAGGTCAGCACCTTGTTTCCCTGCAGCGGATTTCTGGTGTCGCCGGGTGGGCTTTTCGTCCCCCGAGACGTGGTGGTCCCGTCTGGGACTGAGGCGTGGGTGGCCTGCTCCAGGCGGCCACTGGGATTTTCTTTGCTCACTGCCTTCCTCTGCAGTGGCCCACCAGTCCACTTCACGCAGACGAGGAGAAGCAGAAGAAGTTCGGGGGCCGGCTTCTGGCAAGTCCCCCGTCCTTTGCCTGGGCGCCACAGGACTGGGATTGAGGGGGGCAGGAGAGGCTCGCCCTGGTCGCAACAGTACATCTCCTCCCAGGGAGGAGGGCAGGCATAGTGGACCGCCCCGGATGGAAACTGGCCTCATACTGTTCCTCGGAGGAGGAAGGCTGGCTTGCTTCGGGGGGACTGTTTCAGGATCAGGGTCTCCGGAGCAAGCGCCTGGTGGGTGAGTGTGGTTTTGTTTTTGTTTGGGTGACTTGTGTGTTTTCCTTTTGTTGAAATAGTTTTTTTTAAAAAAATGTATAAATTGTCCATTTGTTATTTTTTATGTCCTCATACTTCATCTCACTACCTCTTCATAACTTGAAAGCAAGCATAGCAAGCTCCTATTACTGTTTGCTAACCTTGCCTCTGGTGGCATAGTTCCTAAGGTATTTGAATGCCAACCACAAGACTGGTGGTTCAAACCCACCAGCCACTCCTCCGAAGGAAGACTTGTTGTTGTTGTTGTTGTTATGTGCCGTCGAGTCAGCCCCGACTCATAGCGACCCCTCCTTGGGTTTCCGAGGCGGTATCACTACAGAAGTAGGATTGCCCAACCTTCCTTCCGAGGAGTGGCTGGTGGGTTTGAACTGCCAGCCTTCTGGTTAGCAGTCAAGTGCCTTAGGCACCATGCTACCAGAGCTCCCAGGAAGGAAGACTAGGCAATCTCATTCTGTAGAGATACCCCCTTGGAAACCCAAGGAGGAGTTGCAATGACTCAGGTCCAACTCCACGGCAGTGAGGTTTTTTTTTTTTTTAACCTTGCCAAGCATCAGACTTAAAGAACTTTGTTTCATTTGTCAGAGGGGCTCTTTTTTTCTTTCAGCAGAGCTGTTTACACCTTACCCACCTTCTCTTTGGAGGTTCACACTTGGACCCCCTCTTTCCTCTCCTCTGTGTTTTTCTACAGGAGGTTTAAACGTAAAAGTAAGCTGAAGCCCCATGGAACTCCCTTGGCAGCAGCAGTCCTGGCCGTTCCTTAATGTTGGCCTTCCAAACAGAGCTTCTTTTCCTGCCTCAGCCTGAGTATATGGTTCTGTCAGCCACGTCAAACAGGACCTGGACCTGGCTTCACGGTTGCATTGCCTGGGCTAGTCAACCAGGGGCACCATCTGGTGGCCAGCCCATGCCCACCAGGACAGAGGACAACGCTTGCCACCACAGTCTTCTGGAGATTTCTCCCAAGAGCCTTTGACCTGAGACTGGAGGGCTTGGCCTGGATCCAACAATGTCTCTTTGAGAGTCAACGAAGGAATCTTGCTTCAGGTAAGCTCATGTTTGTTTTGGTCAGAGGTTTGAGTTTGTAATCTGGTTATTATTAACCAACCTCGAAGTTGCTCAGCCTGCGTTGAGGGTGGCACCCAGAATCCGAGCAGCTGTTTGTGTTGAGGGCGGCAGCACCTGGTGTCCGAAGAGGTTGTCTGTGTTGAGGGTGGCAGTTCCCGGTAACTAAGCGGGGTCGTGAAGGCAGTATTTACTGCTGTGTTAAGACCATTAGACTAACCTGTTTGCTGGCTTTTCTGTTCTGATTTTCTGCTTCTTTTGTAACCACTTTTGAGGTGGGTAACAGCCAGAGTATACCAGAGTGTACTTCTGTAGAATGTCTTTTAAAACATTGAAACGAATTTGGTTATGATCCCATGAAAAAGGAAAAGGCTAGTCTTTTTAAGCACAGTGGTATAACCCCAATATGAATTAGGAGACCAAAAATTCTGGCTGCCTTCCGGGTCAGTGTATTGTAATACTATTTTGCAATTGGATTTGTTTTGTTCCCAAACAACAGGATCTTTAGAGAGAACTTTATGTCTTTGTACAATGATCAAGAAACTCAACAAGCTTGTCAGAGTTATGTTCAGACTGTTACCAAGGGTGAGCAGCCTTCAGCTCCTTCCCTGGTATTAACCAGAGGAGAGGGTCCTCTTGACCCCTTAGTTTCCTAGACCCCTCCTCCTCGTATCCATCAGAACCAGACTTTAAGTGGGAGACATGGGGAGAGGTGAACCTATAAGAGGCTCCCTAATTTCCCTTTCCCACACCTGGCAGGGGATACCCTATCAGGGACCAGATTTGACCCAGAAAGGGCCGGAGACTGGGCCAGGCCATGGGGATGTGGCTGGGGGCCAATACCCAGTTCGCCAGATCCCCTCAGGGTGAGAGATGGTCAGGGTGCGTGTGCCTTTTAGCACAGCTGATTTATGCAACTGGAATCCAGGCAAAATGTGTGGACTGCTAACTTTCATTTTAACCGCTTTGACCAATGTGGCCTAATTGTCAGTCACTCTTGATTACTTCATTAACTCCAGAGGAAAGGACAGTGGTGGTGAGCTGTGCCCGAGAAGAAGCATAGGGGCACAGAAATGCCCAACCCCAGCAGGTGGCAGGCACTCTGGATGATGACATGCCACTACAGGACCCCTGCTAGGACCCAAATTACAGATAAGATTATGCAGAGCTTTTAATTACAGAGACTATTTTAATAGGAATTAGAGATGGAGTTTGTGGCAATTAAGTTTGTGTGTCAACTTGGCTGGGCCTGGTTGAGTGGCGGGGCACCTGGATGTAGTATTCCCCATGGTGAGACTGGCAATCAACTCCATGGTGGGATCTACTGGGAACAGCTGAGTAGCTGCCTTAGGGATGTGGCCTGCTTCCTGTATATAAGGAGAAGCCTTGGGGGACAGTCTCTAGCTTATGGCACGCTTGGACCCTGCATGTAGCCATGTAGGTTTTCAGCAGCCTCCCACGCTCTGCCGACCTGGGGACTTACAATGGACTGGAATTAATGACCTGTTGTATAATTTGGTAACATCGGGACTGTGCCTTTTTACTTGTCGACCTTGGGCTTGGCAGCCTCAGCAGCCAGCAGCTGTCTGAGTGAAGAAAAGCCTCCAGCTTCAGTGGGCCAGGAGCTGGAGGCAGAGCTGCAACCCAAGGTTGAGGGGCTTTCACCCAGCCCCTAGAGCCTGGCACTTTGAACTTGGACTTAAAGCCTCCAAACCGTGAGAGAAGAAACTCCTGTTTGTTAAGGCCATCCCATTTGTGGTATATTCCCATCAGAGTGGTGCTAGGGAACCAGAACAGAGCTCCTAAACTTAAGAGTTTAGGAATATAAGATTAGGCAAAAGGAAGATGGGGACCCCTCTACCTTGGTACAGAGAATTTTCAAAGCCTTCAAACAGTGGACAGATTTGGATCCTGAAAGCCCAGGTGATGCTATGTTTATTAGACAGAGCATTCCTGGCAGTAGGAAGAAAATTCAGAAAACTGAAGGAGGTATGATGGTGGGCATTAAACATTTAGTGAAGAGCTATTGAGTCTTTAAGACTAAAGCCCAGACAGTCCAAAAGAAAGTGACATATTTGAGGTTTGTCATCAACAAAGGACAAAGGAAATTGCAACTGGAGAGAAAGCAAGTCATTTACCAGCTAGCCCTACCACAGACACACAAACAGCTAAAAGGATTTTTAGGTGTGGCAGGACTTTGTCGGATTTGAATACCTAATTTTGGACTTGTAACTAAACCCTGCATACCCATCAGGAAGGAGAAAGAGACTGACCCCTTTCTGTGGGGAAAATTAGAGCCACAGACCTTTGATAAATTAATCAGGTCGTAACGGTGGCCCCAGCCAGATTGACATAAGTGTTTTGATTTGTTTGTTCATGAACACCAAGGCATAGCAGCCAGAGTTCTTACCCAGTTCCTGGGATTTTGGAGAAGACTGGTGACATATTTTTCCAAAACTTTAGACCCAGTGACACAGGGCTGGCCTGCCAGCTTGGAAGGGACAGCAGTAACAGTGAGGACACTGCAAGCTGCTGACAAGCTAACCTTAGGACGGGCATCTGGGTTTGCACTGCTCATTCAGTCTCAGTAGTCCTGGACCAAAGAGCCGTCCAAGCAAGAATTTCTCCATATCAGGCTTCCATAGGAGACAAGGGAGCTCTGGTGGTGTAGCAGGTAAGGGACTTGACTGCTAACTGGAAGGTCCGTGGTTCAAACCCACCAGCTGCTCCCCAGAAGGAAGACTGGGTGATCTACTTCCGTAAAGATTTACAGCCTTGGAAGCTCAGTGGGGATTGCTATGAGTCAGAAACAACTCAATGGCAGTGAGTTTTTTTATTTTTTAGGAGACAAGCCAACTGTGCAGATCTAGCCAGCAACTAGCATAAACCTGGCTACACTTTGCCCCAAGCAGACCCCATTCATCACGATTGTGTCAGGACCCTCACCTAGGTGTTTGCCAACAGGCCAGATCTTTCTGACCATCTATGGTGTAAATCTCATCTCAGTTGTTTCATAGATGGGAGCAGCTTTGTGGAGAACAGACAACGGAAGATGGGCTATGCAGGCAGCGGCCTCACCAAGGTCTTGGAAGCACAGATGCTCCTTCCTGGAACATCAATGCAGGTGGCCGAGCTGATCCAGGCTGAGAACGGCACAGGGTCAGAAGGTGATGGTATGCACGGATTCAAACGGGCTTCCTTGAAGGATTGAGAAAGCCATGGAAATGGCCAAAAGACTACTGGGAGAGATTATTCCCAGGTCTGAAATTCCCCAGACAATTGGGGTCAACAATGGAACCCTTTTCACTGGCATAATAATCCAGTTGGTGTTTCAACATGTTGGTATTGAGTGACAGTTTCACATTGCTCGGAGACCCCAATCCAGTGGTAAAATAGAAAGAATGAATCAAACTTTAAGGACTCACATAGCTAAATTATGTCATGCAATTAAATAAATTGGGAAGAAGAAGTAGAAAAAATCCTCCCCATGGCCCTGTTCAGAAGCAGAGTTGCCTCCCAAAACAAAACTAAAAGTAAGCCCCTTTGAGATGATGGACAGGCACCCCCAGTGAAAGACCTAAATGCCACTGATTTAAATTATACCAATGCTGGTGTCCACCACTGATCTGCCAGTAGTACTGTGGTGGCTTTTGTGTTGCTGTGAGGCTGGAGGTTGTGCCACCCATATTGCAAATGCCAGCAGGGTCACCCACGGTGAACAGGTTTCAGTGGAGCTTCCAGACTAAGACAGACTCAGAAGAAGGAAGGGGCCACCCACTTCTCAAAGAACTGGCTAATGAAAACTTGGAGAATAGCAGTGAAACACTGTCTGATATATTACTGGAAAACTGCATGAATAGCCTTGAAACATTGTCCGATATAGTGCCGGAAGATAAGCCCCTCAGGTTGGAAGGCACTCAAAATACAACTAGAGAAGAGCTGCTTCCTCAGAGTAGAGTCAACTTTAATAATGTGGATGGAGTAAAGCTTTCGGGACCCCCATTCACTGATGTGGCACTACTGAAAATGGGAAGAAAGAGATGCAAACATCCATTAATAACTGGAACAAGGAATGTATGAAGTATGAATCTAGGAAAATTGGAAGTTGTCAAAACTGAAATGGAACACATAAAGATCAATATCCAAGGCATTAGTGGTTGAAATGGACTGATTTTGCCCATTTTGAATCAGACAACCGTAAGATCTACTATGCTGGGAATGAAAAAGAGTTAAGTGTGTGGCATTCATTGTCAAAAAGAATATTTCAGGATCTATCCTGAAGTACAATGCTGTCAGTGATAGGATAATACCCATATGCCTACAAGGAAGGCCAGTTAATATTACTATTATTCAAATTTATACACCAATCAACAAAGCAAAGATGAGGAAATTGAAGATTTTTACCACCTTCTGCAGTCTGAAATTGACAAAACATGCAATCAAGATGTGTTGATGATCACTGGTGACTGGAATGCAAAAATTACAAGCAAAGAATAATCATCAGTAGTTGGAAAATATGGCCTTGGAGATACAAATAATGCAGGAGACCCCATGATAGAATTTTGCAAGACCAATGACTTAGTCATTGCAAATACCTTTTTTCAACAACACAAATGGCAGCTATATGCATGGACTTCCCCAGAAGAAATACACAGGAATCAAATTGACTAAATCTGTGGAAAGAGGCAATGGAGAAGCTCAGTATCTTTGGACAAAACAAGGCCAGGAGCTGACTGTGGAACAAACCATCAACTGCTCATATGCAAGTTCAAATTGAAGCTGAAGACAGTTAAAACAAGTCCACGAGAGCCAAAATATGACCTTGATTATATCACTCCTGAATTTAGAGACCATCTAAAGGATTGATTTCATGCATTGAACACCAATGACCAAAAACCAGAGGAATTGTGGGATGACATCAAGAACATCATCCATGAAGAAAGCAAAAGGTCATTAAAAAGACAGGAAAGGAAGAAAAGATCAAAATGGATGTCAGAAGAGACTCTGAAACTTGCCCTTGAACAGAGAGAAGCAAAAGCAAATGGAAGAAATAACAAGATAAAAAAGGTGGACAGATTTCAAAAAGCAGCTCGAGAAGATAAAGTCAATTATTAAATGAAATGTGCAAAGACCCAGAGTTAGAAAACCAAAAGGGAAGAACACACTCAGCATTTCTTAAGCAGAAAGAACTGAGGAAAAAATTTAAGTCTTGAGTTGCAATATTGAAAGATTCTATGGACAAAATATTGAATGATGCAGGAAACATCAAAAGAAGATAGAAGAAATACATAGAGTCACTGTACCAAAAGAATTGGTCAATGTTCATCCATTAAAAATAAATAAATAAACCAAACTCACTGCCATCAAATCAATTCCAATTCATAGTGACCCCTCCTTGATTCAGGAGGTGGCATATGGTCAAGAATCAATGGAATTGAAGGAAGAAGTTGAAGCTGCACTGAAGGAATTGGCGAAGAACAAAGCTCCAGGAATTGACGGAATACCCACTGAGATGTTTCACCAAATGGATGCTGCACTGGAGTCACTCACTCGGCTGTGCCACAAGATTTGGAAGACAGTTACCTGGCCAACTGACTGGAAGAGATCTACATTTGTACCAATTCCAAAGAAAGGTGATCCAACAGAATGTGGAAGTTATTGAACAATATCATTGATGTCACACGCAAGCAAAATCTTGCTGAAGATAATTCAAAAATGGTTGCAGCAATATATAGAGAACTTCCAGAAATGTAAGCTGGATTCAGAAGAAGATATGGAATGAGGGGTATCTTTGCTGATGTCAGATGGATCTTGGCTGACAGCAAAGAATACTAGGAAGATGTTTACTTGTGTTTTATTGACTATGCAAAAGCACTCAATTATGTGGGTCATAACAAATATGGATAATATTGAGTAGAATGAGAATTCCAGAACACATGATTGTGCTCATCAGGAACCAGTACATAGACCAGGAGACTGTTGTTCAAACAGAAAAAGGGGATACTTGTTGTTAGGTGCTGTCAAGTCATTTCTGACTCATAGAGATGAAACACCGCCCAGTCACACGCCAGCTCCATGATCCTCCCTATACTTGAGCCCATTGCTGCAGCCACTGTGTCAATCCATCTCGTTGAGGGCCTTCCCCTTTCGTCGACCCTCCACCTTACCCAGCATGACATCCTTCTCCAAGGAATGGTCCCTTCTGACAACATGACCAAAGTAGGTGAAACAAAGTCTGGCCATTCTCGCTTCCAAGGAGCATTCTGGCTGCACTTCCTCCAGGACAGATTTGTTAGATCTTTTAGCAGTCCATGGTACTTTCAGCATTGTTCGCCAGCACCACAACTCAAAAGCATCAACTTTTCTTCGATCTTCCTTATTCATTGTCCAGCTCTCACATGCATATGAGGCGATTGAAAATATCATGGCTTGTGTCAGGCACACCTGAGTCCTCAAGCAGATATCTTCGCTCTTCAGCACTTGAAAGGGGTCTTTTGCAGGTGGCTTTCCCAGTGCTATATGTCCTCTGATGTCCTGACTGCTGCTTATATTGGCTTCGATTGTACAATTAAGCAATATGAAATCTTTGACAACTTCAATCTTTTCTCCATTTATCATGATGCTGCATATAGGTCCAGTTGTGAGGATTTTTGTTTTCTTTATATTGAGATGTAACCCATACTGCAGCTGTATTCTTCAGTCTTCATCAGTAAGTGCTTCAAGTCATCCTCACTTTCAGCAAGCAAAGCTGTGTTGTCAGTGTGACACAGGTTGTTAATGATTCTTCCTCCAATCCTGATACCATGTTCTTCTTCATATAGTCCAGTTCTCAGATTATTTGTTCAGTATATAGATTGGTGAAAGGATACAACCCTGATGCACTCCCTTCTTGATTTTAAACCATGCAGTGTCCCCTTGTTATGTTTGAACGACAGCCTCCTGGTCTACATACAGGTTTCTCATGAGTACAACTAAATGTTCTGGAATTCCCATTCTTCTCAATGTTACCCATAATTTGTTATGATCCACACAATCAAATGCCTTTGCACAGTCAATAAGGCATAAGTAAACATTTTTCTGGTATTATTTAGTTTGAGCCAAGATCCATCTGACATCAGCAATGATATCCCTTGTTCTGTGTCCTCTTCTGAATTCAGCGTGCCTTTCTGGAAGTTCTCTGTCAATATATTGCTGCAACCATTTTTAAATTATCTTCAATAATATTTAACTTGCATGTGATATTAATAATATTGTTCAATAATTTCCACATTCTGTTGGATCACCTTTCTTTGGAGTGGGTACAAATATGGATTTCTTCCAGTCAGTTGGCCAGGTAGCTGTCTTCCAAATCTCTTGGCATAATTGAATGGGTGCCTCCAGCAGGGCATCCATTTGTTGAAACATCTCAATGGCTAGTCCGTCAATTCCTGGAGCCTTGTTCTTTGCCAATTCCTTCAGTGCAGCTTCAACTTCTTCATTCAATACCATTGGTTCTTGATCATATGCTACCTCCTGAAATGGATGAAGAGCGACCAGATCTTTTTGATAAAATGACTCTGTGTATTTCTCCCATCTCCTTGGAATACTTCCTGCATCATTCAATATTTTGCCCATAGAATCTTTCAATATTGCAACGTTAGGCTTAAATTTTTTCCTCAGTTCTTTCAGCTTGAGAAATGCCAAGCATATTCTTCCCTTTTGGTTTTCTAATTCCAGGTCTTTGAACATTTATTTATAGTAATAGGCTTTGTCTGCTTGAGCTGCTCTTTGAAATCTTCTGTTCAGCTCCTTTATCTTGTCATTTCTTTCATTTGCTTTAGCTACTCTCTGTTCAAAGGCAATTTTCAGAGTCTCTTCTGACATCCATTTTGTTTTTTCCTTCCTTTCTCATCTTTTTAATGATCTCTTGCTTTTTTCATGGATGATGTTTTTGACGTCATCCCATAATTCTTCTGGTTTTCGGTCATTGCTGTTCAATGCATCAAATCTATTCTTCAGATGGTGTCTAAATTCAGCAGGGATGTATTCAAGGTCATATTTTGGCTCTCGTGGACTTGTTTTAATTGTCTTCAACTTCAAGTTGTACTTGCATATGAGCAGTGATAGTCCGTTCCACAATCAGCTCCTAGCCTGGTTTTGGCTGAAGATATTGAGCTTTCCATCTCTTCTTGCC